ATCCTTTGTAGTCCACCTCCTATTTATAGGACTAGCAGGACCTTATTACTATAGGAAACATATTCTATCTGTGCTTTCTTTAGTAATATCCCTAGAATTGAATAATAGAAGACAAAGCTTATCGAAGTTAGAACTAGAAGACCGTAGTGATATCCTTTATACTCCTATTATCTAACCTTGATTGTGAAGTTGGGTTAAGTTAGATTTGGTTATTCTCACACACGTTTCCTTGAGATCGATATAAAACTGGGTTACTCCTGGTGAAGTGCTATATCGGTATATTATCCGTGCGCTTGTGGATTATTCTGTGTGCGTTAATTTATACCAACAGTCGCCTCTAGCTGCGGGAGAGTGGTGTTGTTTGCTGTAGATGCACTGAGCTCACTGCTGTCGGTATTGTGCAAGCTCATGCCCTCCGGATCGACATCTATGGGCTTCACAACACAAATCCTCCTCTAGGCTCCATACCTCACGCGGTGAAGCGTACACGAGGTAACCTGCTCTAATACCACTTGTAGAATCTTTGGTTAGCCTAGAGAGGGGTGAATAGGCCTGTTAAAACAAAACTTGAGCAAATGTTAAATTTCACCCGCAGCACTACCGCTCTGAGCCCACGGCACTGCCGTGCTGCAACACTATCGAGCCAGAACAGCGGCACTTCCGCACTTATAGACAATTTCATGGCACAGTTCAAAATCTATGAACGGAAACTTAGATTGAAGAAATTACTAAGCTTTCTACAAGTATATGGATCACAGATCGACAGCTAGAAGTGGTAAAAGTAGCACACACAAGTAGACCGGCCACAAACCCTAGAAATCACCTCAACAGCAATATGAATGACAAGTATGTAAATCAAGCACACGGTGACACAATAATTTATTATGTGGCTCAGCTCGCCACTAAAGCTTGCCTAAGTCCATGTTGTTGAGGTTAGCCACTAAGGCTTAGGGCTTTGCAACCCTTCCTCATTCTCAAGTCAAGAGACTTAGCTCTTGAGATGAGGGGTAAGTTTACTAGCTTTAAGAGATGGTTACAAACCTTCAGGGGCTGCCACACAAGTTGGCAAGCTCCACGGGCGACGCTCTAACCTGCTAGGAGCAAAGCTCCAAGAGTAACAAACACAACCGCCTGCCAAAACATGAACCAATTGCTCTTTTGAGTTGGGGAACCAATGAATCTGCTCTCTAATCGAGTTTGGAGTCTTTTTCTCTCAAGAATTGATGAGAAAATCAAAGGAAAGAACTTGAGAGCTTTAGGACACCAATGGAGGAGAGAGAGTGAGCACAAGTCTATTCTTGTCGGTCTGAATGAACTGGGCGAGAAAAGAGGACCGTTGTGGGGGAAGGGGAGAGGTATAAATATCTCCCCTAGTCCCAACGGTCAGATAAGTCGTGGCAGTGCCGCTATGCGGCATAGCCGCGTTTTAGGTGCGGCCAAACAGCAAGGAATAGAAGGGAGTTGAGCTGGCTGTCGTGGCTGAGCTTTGAGGATGCTTTTGTGTAAGATTGAGCACTTGGTTGTACATGTTGACTTAAGCATTGTGTCCCCTTTATAGTATGGCTTTTTCTATACTTAAATTCAAAATATAAAATGAGATAAACCTCCTTTTGAGCTTGATGCCGTCATCTTTTGTAATTGGGGGCTCCTACATTATGTACAACATCCTCTCTTATGATTCTCCTGCTTGTCATCTTGATAAATCTCATTAGTTCTCTAATTGCATGGTCATTATCATCAAAACCCATGATTAAGGCTTGATTGCACTTACAGGCTTGTTGACGTGGAGCTCGACGTCGGTGCGGAACTCGATGCCACAGAGTGGCGTGGAGGTCGCCCACAATCCACGGACCTCGGAAGTGGCTATAGCAGGTGGATGGATTGTGGCCACGACAGGAGGCACGGGGAGCGCAGCGTGATGCATGGGCGGCGCGTGGCGCGAGGCGCGAGGCACGAGGGTAGGTAGGTCGGTCCTGTCCGAAAGAATGGACGCCCTGAGGGTATCATTATCGAATAAAATTCAAACCCCAACCTCTAATTTTTTTTAATAATGGAAAGAGTATATGACTTCATCGTCATTGAAGAGGAGTCATATTAACTTATTACAACTTACTTAAAAACTCTCGGGGGAATAAATTTCTTATAAAAAACAACTCAAAATCCAATTCTAAACAAAAGAAGATCATCCGTAGGACATAGAGACTTATTGCCACGGTCTCCGAAGTTCGACAAGGCTCCACCATGAGCGCTCGTTGAACCTCACAACATTGCAATTGGGCCCACGACCGAAGCAAATAGGTCCCCTTAATAACACCTACAAAAGAGAATTAGGTCAATAATTGTCAAAAACAATTTTATTCCTTGTTTTCCAGATTGACCATAAAATGGCTACCACACCAATAAATAAGAGGGATTGAAAATTCTTATTTTTCCAAGAGTACCATACATTAAACAAGTTTTGGGCATTTTAAGATGGCTTAATTCTAACACCATATGGATTGCTCTATACAAAAACATGGCACAATTAAGAATCCTGCCAAACGCTTCCATTATTTTTTATTGTTTTGATCACCGCTTCAGAACTTTAAACTAGCACAATTAAGAATCAAAAAATTCCCGCTATTGTAATCGAATCGATTAAAAATAGGGCATTATATTAGATACGCCTAGTCGCCCATCTTTTATCAGTTCAATCCCGTGGTGAGTGAGCGTTGCATGGTAAAAAAATCATTAACGTAAGATATCTTTATATCTTTTATCTATACCTAATAATAAAGAGGTAAAAAAAATTTGTATGGCCTTCTCTAACTAACTATGTGAATGTGAAAAGTGTCTTTACTGGTCCGTCTATAGCTCTTTTGATTTTTATATGATAGAGGTTTTGGATAGCTAAGAATCCAAATCCAAATAGATCTATGTGATTCCAAATAAGCTCAATATGAATTCTAATCTGTATCTAATACTTTTTTAGCAAAAAATCCGTATCTAATACTTAATACTAAAGGGTGAAGCGTTTCCTCCGATCTACTTTTTTACCTCCCATAATAATACCGTTGCTTTTGGTCCGTTTTTTTAAAGCCACGCAGGGCGACCGAACCGACTCAGATTCTGTTTCTATCGTGTAAAAATCCTAAAGTTCAGGTAGCGAAAAAAAAACATTTGTCCGTTAATTAACGAAGAAACGGACTAAAACTCCACCGTCGTGTTCGACACGGTCACACATGGAAAATATAAAAAAACACATGTCTATAATTATATATGTCATTATATATATAGAAAAGGAAAGAGTAAGGTTGGTCAGGATATCCGATCGGCACTCTCGCGTGCAGGGTTCGAGCCCCCACGGCTGCGCTCGTTTGCCTGCCGGAGCTAAAAAAAAAAAATCCTCCTCTGTCCTGAGTGTCTCAAAGCATAGGTTAATGGACCGGCCCACTCATAGGGTTTCTTGCCCTTGTGTAAGGGCGGGGCACGAGGTTCAGGGGTTTTCTCGGCCTGCGTGAGAAGGTCTTCTTCCTTAAGCACAAAGTTGCGGGGACGAGTTTTTTTTAGGCCCCGTTCGCTGGTCTGAATTTTGGCTGAAATTGGCTGAAAAACACTGTTTCTGACTGAATTATTGTGAGAGAAAAACACTGTTCCAGCTGAAAAAACAAGTCGAATATGGGGTAAGCCGAACGGGGCCTTAAACTCCAGCTTATCCGACATATATAAGGAAAAAACAGAGTAAAAACTCAAAGTGAAAACACATGCGATGTATAGAGCTCAAATCCGGGCGTTTTTGGTTTTGCTCTTTTTTCTGTGTTTTGCTTTTTTTTTGTCTCGGCAGTTTTGCATCCCCATCGTCCCCATAATCCGCTAATCTATTTTCATTAAGATGGAGAAAACGAAGAAGGGAATATTTTAGGTTTTTGGAGATGTTCCGACCTTGGCTTTATACAACATAAAAAATAGAAGGTCGTTCACAGAGCTAAAGATGAGCTGAGATGGGATCACCTGGAATTTCCAGAGCGGCTATGACGGCGATTCAGGAAGCGACCGCACCCCCAACCTCAAACTTGATCACCAACTTTGGTGATGTGGATTTGCAACGCCAGTGGTTGCTCTGGTCACGGCGCCCACGCCCCATCCGCTGACTTCAGTCGACACCGGCCACCGCAAAATCAACGGTTAGTTGCTCCTGCGCTGTTGACCACAGATTTTTCCCCTAGGAACTAGGGCCGCTTAGGAACCCTAGGTCGACCACAGATTTTTCCCCTAGGGACTTTCAAGCCTGCACCCTGAAACTTGGGTGGAGGACCTGATAGAAGAGAGGACTGGACCTGAGCGAAATTAGGTAACCGCAATGAGTCATGTGTCCCGTTGCAACGCATGAACATGTTTGCTAGTAACGCTAAGTCCCACTGCAATTCTATCTCGACACATGCAAAACATTTACATCAGTAGCCCACTAGCACATACAATTATAACGCTTATCTATTCATGCAAGCAATCCATATCATCATGCCACATCTCTCACTAAAATTCACTCGCAATTCTTGTAGCAAAGCATGGGATATGGTTCTAGTTTAACAGGATTTTCTGGGTTCTCACAGTCGGTTCTAAACATGGCTGTAATAATAATTCTCTAGATGAAAATCGAAGAAGCCGTAAAGTACGTATCTCCGCAACAGAAGCGGAACTATGAGTTGGAGGAAGGAATCGTCCGGGGCAGGAGGCGAGGAGGGAGATCTCCGTCCAGAATCTTCCAGCCGCTCTCGTTTCCTCTGCTTTTGCTTTCCATTTTGTTCTCTCTCATCTCCTCGCCGTCGCCGACCAGGATACCGCCTCCTCCTCATCTCCCTCGCAGACTCGTCTTCGAGCCCTAGCCCTTGCCGCCTCGAGTCCGTCTCCCTGCGGGGAGCACCCACCGCCACCGCGGAAGCGAAAGCAGCGGTCGCCTCAAGGAGGAGACCCCCGCCGCTGGATTTGAGACCGGGAAAGGGAGGGGCTCCCTCCGCGCCGGGATGGACGACGGCGATAGTGCCGTCCGGAGCGTCGACAAGGCCGGCGCCGCCCCGGGCGACGACGGCAGCGCGACACCGCTCCCTGAGACGGTCAGGACTCAGGATCTCTCGTCTCTTTCCTTAGCTCCCGCGTGTTCCGAAGTCGGGCGGCGTTTGAGGATTTGGACCCACTTTTAGACGCTGGTATCAAATGGCTGCCGTCGGATGAATTCGATCGACTTGGTATGCTGGCATGGATAGGTCGCATAGGTGTTCTTGATGGAAGTTTCTGGTTTAATTGCTAGCTAAGGGCTTGATTATAGATGAATTTGGTTTCTTAGGGTTGCCACCTCATTGCCAGAGCGTTAGGAACTGCTCTAGTGTGGAATGTGACTTCACTTGACGTGCTATTTTGGGAAATATGAAGTTTATTTTTTTTAAACGAGAAATATTCTGCTTATATAAGGTCTGTTTCACCAGTCTGGGCCTCTGGGGATACCAGAACGCTAGAGGAGTTCCTAAACAAACAGACATAACAAATAATATTCCTCGCCAGCTTACTAGAACAAAAGCGGCCTAAATTTTGCCAACATCTGAAGACAACAGCTTGGTGTGCTACAATGCCAGTTCAGCATCTTTTCCATCATATGTTCTTGCTTTTTTCCTTTTTACATCACTTGGTTTGTTGGTGAAGTGATGTTCTATCGCCATCCTGTTTCTGTTAGTCCAAAGCGCCCATGCTAAACCTGCAAACACAAATAAACCTAACTGTTAAGGGACTCTGAATCTGTTATTGAGCCACCTCTCCCATAAGTCAGCTCGTGATGTCGGGAAGCCATTCCAATCAAACACCTCTCGCATGCAACACCATAGCATCTGTTCTATAGAGCATCGAAGAAAATATGATCAATTGTCCCTTCCTCTCTCCACATGAACTACAGTTACTTTTACCTTTCCAACCCCTTTTCTTCAGTTCCACTCCGGATTGCAGTTTGTTGTGTAACATCTGCCAAAGGAACACTCTAACTTTCATTGGAATCTTGCATTTCCAGAGCATCTTTGCTTGAAGATCTACTCCCCCATGAGTTAAGAAATTGTACAAGGACATAGTTCTATAAGATTAAATTTATCTGAGGCCCACTCTGCATCTTGCTGCCCTTCAGCTGGATGAATGTTACTAATTGTCTCCCATAGGTCCTCCCACAGATTTACCTCAGCAACGATTAGACCCCTTCTATATTGTATTTGCCAGTCAGCATTGTTGAAAGCCTCTGCTACTGTAATATTTGATATTGAGCAAATATTTAAAATATCAGGGAATTGAATTTTCAGTGCAGTTTCACCGATCCAAGCGTTGTTCCAAAAAGAAGTCATGGCTCCATCTCCAATTCTATGAATTGCCCTCAAACAAATGTTCGACTTTATGTAGCCCCTAGAAATAGGAGGCTCATGTCATGCCATGTGTCAATTAGGTGCAGTTTTTCATTCGTCTATTTTTTTTTTGTGTGTGTGTGGCATGAACTTGATGAGTGAAAGAAAAATCCACTTCCATATTTTCTAATACGTAGTTGCGGTATAATATTGTATTTGGCAAATGCCGAAATGGAGCCAATTGAGGCGAGCATAGTTGTTTGTAAATTGAAAGGGATGTTCTGTAAGGGGAAAAAATATCTAGTGATGCTGTTATGTTTAGATTGGCATCCATTTATGGCATTTGTTTTTCAAATTATCAGATTACTATGTTTTTCAATATGAGTAATGTCAGCACATCTTGTAGTACCATATTAATCATACTCAAATTCCAGATGACTCTTTTTGCTGTTGCTTAAAGCCTCAGAAAGGAAACACATGAATGCCTGCATGTTGCAAAGTTTTATTTGTTATATGAGCCTCATATATTGCCTGTAGCACTCTAGAAAGGATCAATTTTGTGTAATGAAAATGTTGAACACATGTTGGAACTTGGAACATAGAGAAATAGATGCATAGTATATATCCATATCCAACTCAATACTCTCCTTGGTAATTATTGATTATTGAAGTTATTAAACATGATGACTGCTGTGTAAGGCTTTAAGGACAGGTTCTGTCATAACTTTTGGAAATTACTACTTATGCAACAATTTAAGTGAAAGTTCTGACAACTGAGTTCCTCAAAGTAAAAAACTTGAAAAAAAATGGATAGACACAATTTACGTAGAAGTTTTGACCAGTCTGAGTTCCTCGAGGTTAAAAACTTCAAATTATGGATATTATTTGTTCCGATTAGGGATGAGAGTTTCCTAGTCCAGCTGCTGAAAGTTCCAGCATTTTTTAATGATATCTTATATTTGATTTCCTTTACCCTATTTCTCTGTTTTCTTGCAACTGCTTTTGTTGTGTTGTGACTAAACCCTAATAAGCATAAGTGCATCTGGAAAAATGATATATGTAAACAATGTGAGAACCTTACACTTTTGGCATGTCAGATCTTTCTTTGTCTACTACTCTACTCTACTTGTAAGAGGGCCTATGGCTGTATTACACATTGACTTGTCATTATTCACTCCTTGCAAGTGGTTGGTGTATAGATCTCATTTGTGCCTTTTGCAGTAACAAGGTTAGATTAACATTCAAGATAGGCTGTAGGCATATAGCATGGGAAATTCAGAACCATGTATGTTGTGTTTGACTATGGTGGCATGCTCATCATTTCCTTATGTGCTGGAACAGGTTCAAATTGGCAATTCGCCTACTTACAGACTTGACAGAAAGCTTGGAAAGGGAGGATTTGGGCAAGTATATGTTGGTCGCCGTATTTCCTCTCCTAGTGTTAGTGACAGGACGCCCGGTGCAAATGCTTTAGAGGTCTTTATGCCTTCTCTGGAATGTTTAATTGTAATTCATTGTAGCTGCATTAGCATAAACTTTTTTCTTCATAATAGGTTGCAATCAAATTTGAACATCGAACCAGCAAAGGTTGCAACTATGGTGCTCCTTATGAGTGGCAAGTTTACAAGTAAGTGACCAATTTGTCCTTTCTTCTTGCACTGATTTCTACAAAAAAAATCTTTGGCCTTGTTTTTCCATTTATTGCATGTTCCAACTGGAATTACATCTTAACTTTTGTGTTTATATAAAACATCCATCCTGCAGCACTCTTAGCGGAATTCATGGCGTACCAAGAGTACACTACAAAGGGAAGCAGGGAGAGTATTATATAATGGTAATGAAGCAGGCAACACTATTGTATATTGACCGTGCACACACATTCTTGCTACTACTTTTCAATATTTCCTGGTTTCACGCGGCACCTCGTCTAAGCCATTATCTTTTAAAAATTTCCTGTCTAAGCCACCATTATTTAAAATTTTCCTTTCATTAAGGGCCTGTTTGGTTGCCTGCACTAGTCTATATTTAGGCTTGTGCAGTGCAGTTTGTCTATGTTCGGTTGCCCGCAGAAGCTCTTATGCATGCTTGCACAGTGCTCAAAGTAGGTCCAATATTAGGTCGTATCAGGCAATGAAATTTTGCACAAGGTGATTGGGCCACAAAAATGAAATATTCTCACCTCCCCTCTCTACTAGAAACATAAGACACCTTCTAGAACGTGGATGTAGCTACATGCTACACAATGTAAGCAACCAATGCCTGTGCAGAACTACCAAATACAAAGACATTGCACATGTTTATACTGGCTGGGTTGTGCTACATAAGGTCTAATGCATGCTAAGGCTAATGTAAGCAACCAATCACACCCTAAAGCTCCCACACACAGGTGGGGTCTAGGGATGTGAATTTCTAGACAACCTTACCATTGTAAAATTCTGAAATGAGGCTGGTCCAAACCTCAGGACCTCAAGGGCACAAGTGGAGACACTCTACCACTGTGCCAGGTCTGTCCTCCTTTTATTAAAGTTAAATCTGATTAATTCTTGTCTTGCTGTTGCTTCACTGCTTCAGTTTTCCCAAACACTTGCTATAATCAAAACTGGCACTGGCATTAATTCATTATGCGTTCAGGTAAGGTATAGTCACTACTCTGCACCATTATAAATATAATGAATTGGTGTCTTGATCATTTAAACTAGAGACCCATTTTTTTCCTCCTCGGAAGGTATGCACCTCATGATTGATGAGGTGACATAGGCATACAAAGTCAATAATTAGTGATTTTCTTTTCCTTTTTGGGCACTGGTGGGCCTATGGAAAGAAAACCTTTACCCTTTAGCACTGCCTGTTCAAAACTAGAATAATAGTTTTCTTCCAGTGAAAACCAATCAGTTTCTTAGTATTCTATACAATATTTTTATGTTAAGATTGCTTATAGACTAATAATTCTCAAATTACTTTCACAATATTTAGCTGGTGACTGTCTTTGCTTGATACTACCTAGCATGCTGCATCTCTGACTCCGCTCATTTGTATGTCAAATAAATAGTTGTATTGACTATTTTTTTGAATAAAATAATAATTGAGTTTCAGCTGACCACATCCAGACTACCTGACTCATTCCACCTCCTTCCGCTTGTGTTTTTCCATCTTGGTCCCCAAAAGTTACACATCTGATTCAATCAAGTCTGGCTTTCACACATCACACTACATTAGCTAAGTTCGTGCATATATATCAGAGAAAAAAAGGAAAATGTATGAGATGGGGACCACTGTTGTACTCAGATAGTCAGCTGCACACTGTATCTCAACAGCTCAATCTAAGCACCACTTGCAACCCACTTGTGCCTAATAACATGATGAGTTTGTCCCCTAGTGGCTGGTGGTGGACGGCATGGGTCCCCTCAGCTTGACTAGTTTACGAGAGAATTAAACAACAGAGGTGGTTTCTGTTGCCTCTACCACTGTTGCAACTGCTTTTGAAGCTTGCCATCGGCACCATCCATTTCCACTGTGCCACCATAGCTACTGATTATAGCTTCAAGATGGGTGTAGTAGTCAGCAGCAGAAGCTGCCATGAGTGGGAGAGAGGAGTTATGAGAGGGAGAGTAGAGAGAACGAAGCAACAGGTGACAGTGGATGGTTTGGAGATGGTTGTCTGGTAGTTTTAAGGGACAGGAATACAGGTAATCCAAACTGCCAAGCTTCCAAAATAGACTGTTGTTCAAAATAAGTAATCCTAACTTGCAATGTGTAACAACAAATGTGTTGTCCAGTAAACTTTTCTATCTTGTATCACAAACCAGTGCAGTGTTCACTAAGAGTACTTGTCCATTTTTATTTGCGCAAGCAAGCATGATAGCTTGGTTCTTTTGTTTTTGCATTTAGCACATCTTATTTAGTTGTATGAGGTAACTTTTAATCAATTTCAGTGCCAATGCATTACAATATTTTTAGCTTATTTGATTCATGATCAGTCATGGCTGGAAAATATTTGAAGGCTTGGTTACTTCATTACCTAAAGAACCCTGTTTGCTGGTGGCATATGTTTCTCATGCAAGGTAACTTCTATGCAGATTATGGACATGTTGGGGCCAAGCCTGTGGGATGTTTGGAATAATAACTCTCACTCGTAAGTACCTAATGCAGTTCCAATTTTTTCTTTAACGTTCTTGTCTGGTTTTCTCAGTTCCTTAATTGATTCAATTTGTTCCGTTTACAGTATGTCTGTTGAAATGGTGGCTTGCATTGCTATAGAAGCAATTTCCATACTGGAGAAGATGCACTCAAAAGGGTATCTGATGTAGTTTTGTCAAAGGATACTAATATATTTTGTATACTGTGTATACAATAATAGCTAAAAAAAATCTCTTGTTTATGACAGGTACGTCCATGGAGATGTAAAACCTGAAAACTTTTTGCTTGGACCTCCAGGCACCATAGAAGAGAAGAAACTTTTTCTTGTTGACCTTGGTTTAGGTATTTTTGTTTTATATCAGTTTAGGGAACATTCTGGTGACACATTGGGTCCAGTGGGCCTTCAAATATGCATGTTAGTTTGACATAACATTGATTTGTCAACACAGCTACCAGATGGAAAGACACTGGTACAGGAGAGCATGTTGAATATGATCAGAGGCCTGATGTCTTCAGGTTTGCAATAGAAATACTTCACTAGGTTCTATCTTCCATGGCTTTATTCCCCCCTACTTCTATGCTTACATTTTTTTTGTCATACATCACTGTTTAATGGAACAGAGGAACTGTTCGGTACGCTAGTGTGCATGCTCATTTGGGGAGAACTGGAAGCAGGAGGGATGACCTGGAATCTCTTGCCTACACACTTGTATTTCTTCTGCGTGGTCGCCTTCCTTGGCAAGGATACCAGGTGAAGTTTGTTACAACTTTGAAATTTTCTTAATTATTACTGACATGCTTTTCTTTTCTTTTTCCCCTTACTCAATTTTTCTGCAAAATGATTTTAGGGGGAGAATAAAGGTTTCCTTGTCTGCAAGAAAAAGATGGCAACTTCTCCGGAATCTTTGTGTTGCTTTTGCCCACAACCTTTCCGACAATTTATTGAGTATGTTGTGAACTTAAAGTTCGATGAAGAACCAAACTATGCAAAGTGCATTTCTCTTTTTGATGGAATTGTTGGTCCAAACCCAGACATAAGGCCAATCAATACAGATGGTGCTCAGAAGGTATTGTTCTATCCAACCTTGTTGCTCCTTGTACTTGCTAACTAAAGATTGCTTCCAGCCATTGCTTTTGTACTAAGGCTTCTTGGCCATTGGTTGTTTGGTACCAGTACACTTCTACATACAATGATTTGTATAGATGCTAATATATTCTTTTATGAATTTCTACCAGCTTATATTTCAGGTAGGCCAGAAGAGAGGTCGCCTTATGATGGAGGAAGATGATGATGAGCAGCCCAAAAAGAAGATTAGGATGGGAATGCCTGCGACCCAATGGATTAGTGTTTACAATGCCAGGCGGCCTATGAAACAGAGGTATGAACTGCATAGGTGTATGCTTTAGTTAGAAAGAAAATACTTCACTCTAATCATGATTCTTTGCAGGTATCACTACAATGTTGCAGACAGCAGGTTAGCTCAGCACATTTCAAAGGGAAATGAAGACGGCTTATTTATAAGCTCTGTCGCCTCTTGTTCTAATCTGTGGGCTTTGATAATGGATGCTGGCACTGGATTTACTTCTCAAGTGTATGAACTTTCTCCATATTTTCTTCACAAGGTAAGCTATTAATTGCTGCCCCATTTTTGGTGTTCTAGCAATCTCATATCACTTTATTCTATTTGCTGTTCTCCCTCCGTTTCAAATTCTAGTTCACTTTGGCTTTGTCCTAATTCAAACCCCTCTTAACTTTGACAAATTTTATAGCATAATGTACCAACATCGAATTAGTTTCACTATTAAATTCTTTCTCCATGAAATATGTCTTGTGTCTTGATAGTGCATTTATTTGAACTTGTAGATGTTAATATTTTTTTCTAAAACTTGGTCGAAGTTAGCTAAGTTGGACTTAGGAGAAAACCCAAGTGTACTAGAATTTGGAACGGAGGGATTAGCATTTAAAACTTGATATTAAGCTGGTCTGCTTTTTTCTTTTTTGCAATTGATTTTGATATAGCGTGTGTTGCTTTCAGGAATGGATAATGGAGCAATGGGAGAAGAACTTCTATATCACTGCGCTAGCAGGGGCAAACAATGGCAGTTCACTGGTGGTCATGTCAAGAGGTAATACAATTGGTGCCTGGGCTCCGTAAAAATACTCCCTGTTAAACTTGTGTAATACAAAGATCTACATTTTCGTGTCTGCCTATAGTATAAAGTTGTGTAATATGAAGTTCTACTTTTTGTTTCCACCATGTTAGTGAGATATACCAGACTAGTTTAACCTTGCATAGAAGTGCATATGTTCTTTGTCAAGCTGTGACTGCAAGCTTTTAGCTGGAGGCTGTGACAGTTTATGGTATTACACCTGTGTATACACTGTAGATTGGAATTGACTTTGTCCTCTCCAGGAACACAATATGCCCAGCAGTCCTACAAAGTAAGCGACTCATTCCCTTTCAAGTGGATAAACAAAAAGTGGAAGGAGGGTTTTTATGTTACTGCTATGGCCACAGCAGGAAGTCGGTGGGCAGTGGTCATGTCCCGGAATTCTGGCTTTTCGGCACAGGTATGTCGATGTGCTCATGTCTAGTATGTGTAAGAGTTAAAGACTGGCCTTTTGCTTTGAATTGTCTACTATCCTGGAAAAAAAACATACCTGACATGCCTCGTTATTGCTGAATCTCAAGACATAGCTTCAAGAAAAGCATAGGCTGAAAAACTACATTGTTAAACTTGGTGCTTATTTTTAATATTTTTGGTTTTAGGTTGTGGAGCTTGACTTCTTGTATCCAAGTGAGGGTATCCATCGACGCTGGGATAATGGATTTCGCATCACGTCTACTGCAGCTACATGGGATCAGGCAGCGTTTATCTTGAGCATCCCCAAAAGGAAACCTGCTGATGAAACACAGGAAACCCTAAGAACGTCTGCTTTCCCCAGCCAGCATGTGAAGGTGATTTGAAATTCTTTCCCTTTTCTCTAACCTCAGATTGAACATCCATTTGCACATACTAATGATTTGTTTACAGGACAAATGGGCGAAAAATCTCTACTTAGCTTCCATTTGCTATGGAAGAACAGTGTCATGAGGTCTGCCCTGTTTGGCTGGTGTACACTGTAGAGTTTATTTATATGGACTACTGAATTATTAGATTTGGAATTTTGAACGGTGACAATATTTCTAATTTGCCCACCTATAATTAACCAATCTGATAGATGAGGAAGCCTGCCTCTGTTCAGTTGATAGTTGCCCTAGCTGCCTAGCATGGTTGTAAAAAAAAATCTTGTGGTCTTTGGGTGTTGTACTTGCTTGTTCATAGATTGTTAAAATCATTGTGCTGTAATTTGTAAACTTGATTATCTATCATGCATATAGTTTTAAATTGATATTTAACCCTGAAGGCTAAGATGTATCTGCATCTTGTTCTGTTGCCATTTAAGCATTACAATTGGATCTCACGCAACATGTATAGGGCTCTGTCTGTTTGTTAGACCCATCCTTGCATTGGATAATTTGGGTATCTGTGCTGCATAAATCTATCATGTGATTGTTTTCATTTCATATATGTGGATAACTCTAGTGTGATTTAGTTGTTTCTTTTCAGCAGTTCAGTATTGTATAATGTCAGTATTAGTGTTGCTCTTTACTCGTTTTTACTGTGTATTTGAGCTCCTTTTCCATTTGCAATCCTGTCTGTGAAGGTCCGAATGAGGATTCTATTTTCTGTTAGCTCACCTGATCTTTACCTACATTGCCAGTATTTGTTTTTTTTTTGTCTATTGCTTCAAGAAGGAAGTGTTTATGTCCCAAAGAATTCATTGTTCAGTTTGGTTTGATGTCCAATCTTGTTAATCAGAACAAGAATGATGCAGTAGCTTCTATTGCTACTCTGCTGTGCAAGTTAATTTCTGTTGGTGTGAATTGCTATGGGAGTTTCAAAGGGAGGATGCACTAACCGCTGTTGCTACTCTGCTCTAACTCAAAAGACTCTGTTTTGAGCTAGTGTGGAGGATAATTCTGTTCACAAACTGAATACTCTATTGTAAAACTGTGCGAGTTGATGCAGTTGCATCTGTGATTAATATTGGTTTTCTAGTTACATCTGTTATCAATGTTGGTTTTCCAAAGGAAACAGTAGAGCGAGCATTGAAGATAAGACTTTTTAATGAGCTTTTCTCTCTTGCATGTTTGTTTTTCATTGCAACCCGATATTATAATACATCATGACTATTGCCAGGCTCATGATTATCAGTGAGAGTTGCTACTTGATGAGAAAACCTTTGGCGATCACTATCTGAACCTACATTTTTTGTTTGCCCATGTATATTGTCTACATGTATTGTATAAATCTACCTTGTGTCTAGTGCTCATTTGAATCTATCTGATTCCGATCTCCTTGAACAGTTACAAGAAAATATTGACCTAAGAAACTATATGGCGGCCCATAGTTTTTTGTGGATAAGTCAGGGTGCATTACTGTCTGCATTTATATAAGATTGTTGTGTCTGTATTCTGTACTATTTCTCTCTAGGAACAGCAAAATCATTACCAAATGAAATTGTGTTTTGAGAGAACAGGTGACCCCTTGCCAAATGATTATGGGATTGAAAGTCAGAACCAGAAACATTTTCCAGGTTCTAGAATTCAAAAAACAGAAAGATCAGTTTTCATCGAGAATCAGTTTTTCTTCTCTCTTTAGAACGTGGGAACTTTTTTTTTATGTTTCATGTGTTCATCTAAAATAAACCAGTTTTTGCAAATTTCTGAACAATTCCTATGAAATTTCTACCTTACAAAGGGTTCCTGAAATTTTGATGTACCAACTGCACATTTAGGGTGTGGTAGGTTTCTAGCTTACTTTTAGTCTGGCTAGAATCTAAGCCTGGACAGCTCAAGTCTGGTTCTAGCGAGCCAATCTGGTTGTCTGGTTTGTATAACATAGAAGAACGTATCAGATGCAAATCAACTAATCTGTGTAAACTTAAAACTATTAATTAAGATCACTAATTAAGACCACTGGATACTGATTGGATGGGGTGAGAGGTATGATTTTTTTTACGCTTAAGCCCTTCACCCGCCGTCTTTTTTTTCCGCTTAAGCCCGCCCGGCCGCTCGCCCGCCCGCGTGATTGCGCCACCGCGCGTCCGGCCCGCGCGAGTGCGTCAGTGTGGAGCAGAGCTTCAAGCAGAGCTCGCTGGCGCATCCAAGCCACGGCACTGAGCTTCAAGACGAGCTCGCAACCAGCAGTGGACCTCAACAAGCAGGTGGTGCTCCACTGCAGGACGAAATCCAACACCGCGGCGCTCCACCACATCGCAGCCCGCCGTCGCGCTCGTGCGCTCTCCACTGTGGCATTGTCCCCTCCCTCCCTTCCTCACAAAGCATCGGCCTCTCCGAGCGGACACGAGCCGCCCACCACGCGACCTCAGGGTGCCTCTCTGCGTGCTCCCGCTGCTCCTTGCCCAATGGCCACCGCCTGCTGCCTCGCCGCTCGGCCGCGCCTCTGCCGGCATCGTGGCCGTCGCCCCGTGCGGTGAGATCGAACACCTTCGCCGCCTGTCTCGCTGCAATCCCACTCGGTCGTCACTTGTCAGGCTCCAAGATCCCAAGAGGCGTTGCTGTCAGGGCGGTGGTCGAGGTCGCGAGGTGAGGGCGCCAGAGAGGGCCGCGGAGACGGCGAGGGGAGAGGGGGCGGCTCGGGGCTGGGCGCGCTCGAGGTTTGCGGTGACGACTCCCCATTCGGGCTTTAGTCAACCCTGACTCCAAAGAACGGCCAGCTCTGGCGTTTATCTGGGGTGGTTGGTGTCTCCCTGCAGCCTACCTTCGGCCTCCAAAGAGGCATCCCAATAGCCCGAAGGTGGCCTCCTGGAGCCTGGTTGGCCCTTCAAGTCGGTAGTGGATGCCAGATCTAACTTATAAGGACTCGTTGGCCTGAACTTATTAGTCGGATTATCATCTAAAATTTATAGATATTTTTTCTCACAACAAAACAGTTGCAGTGCCGGTTTTAATGTTAGCCGAACAGGCCCTAAATTTCAAGTCATTCCAACTTTTTTGATAATCACAAGCATCTCAAGTTTGATCAAATTTATGTAATAAAATAATAATACTTATGATACCTAACTAAGCATCATTAGATTCTTTATTAATTATATTTTCATAGCATACCTATTTGATGTTATAAATCTTTGTAATTCTTTCTATAATTTTAACCAAACTTAGAGATGTTTTAACTCGTTAAGAAAGCTAGAATGACTTACATTGAAATGGGGGAAAATAGTTCATCCATAGAGGTACGTTGTAGCAAAAGTTTGGAAACAAAATCAATCTTGAAAAACTCATGGAAATAACAAATTTCATGTGTATTTGTACTAGAAGGCAAATTTCCAAGAATTTTGTCTTCTAGTGCACTTGTACTTGAATTTTGTCATTTTTCTTTGGATTTTCACACAATAAGTTTGCCTCTCAACTTTTGCTACGACGTACATCTATGGATGACCTATGGATATGCATCGTTTCATAATTTTTGGAAAGTAGAGTTTTTGGAACGGTTTTCACGATTGCACGAAAGGATGGTTTGCACCAAATATTTAGGGAGTATGAAACATCAACAAAGAGCTTGAGTTACCGTCTAAGAGCTAGAGTTACCGTTAGACATACTGAGAATCATGCCTAAAATGATGTTTACAAATGCACAAGGAATATGTTCTTGCAAGGGTTTAAATTGTGCCCTTTTTCCTAATAACCTTGGACCTGTTTAGAACGGAGGAATGTAAAATAGAGGAAAGAAAGAAAACACAGAAATAGGATATGAGTGTAGGTAGAAAACAGAGGATTGAAAATCATAGGAATTTTATAGAAATGGGTGTTTGGAATATAGGAATATAAGAACATGTTTATCCCTCCATTCTAGTGAATAAGGGCTTGCTCATCTCTCCATTCACATGTAGAAAATATTTTCAAGAGCTTAGAGTGGATGTTTTATTTCCTCCATTTCATGAAGGAAGGCAAGCCTTTCCATAGGAAAAGAAAATTTCATTCATCCATTTCAAACACCATGTGATATAAGCAAAACATAGGAATTTGATTTCTTTGAAATTCCTATGAAATTCCTCCAATCTAAGTCCTAGCGTTCAGCTTGATTCATATGCAACTTTATCTAGTGGGCCTATACCCACCCGCAGAGAGTTTAGCAACCTATAGCTAATAATATCAGCTAGTTACACAAATGTACAAGGAATCTATTCTTCCAAAGGTTTAACCTGTGCCTTTTTTTTCCTAACCTAGGGTTCAGCTTGATTCTACACTAGATATGCAACTTTATCTAGTGAGCCTATACTCAGGCACATACTTTAGCAACCTATAGCTAATAATTAGCATGTTCGCTGGTTGGTTTCTGGGCTGATAAGCTCGGTTGGTGTTGTTTTATTGTGAGAGGAAAATACTGTATCATGACTGATAAGCTCTTGCTGAAACCAGCAAGCGAACAGGCTGAATATCAGCTAGCTGAAGCTACGTACTTTAGGAAGGTAAATGCACATAAGCGGATGCATAACTGAGGCAAGTAGAACTTCCAGAACATGGTGGTGCATCATGTGGTGCCAGTTGCTAAATGGAAATATTGTGGGTAGGGCGTCCATTCATCTGGACACTTGTGTTGGTGGGCCTCAATGCCCGCCCGAACGGACCAACACTATCATTCGCATGGTCGCACCCATCTCGCGTTTTGTTAAAAAAACAATAATATCTATCACTTTCCTCTTGACTGCTGCATCATGACCACGCCGCCGCGCCCATACTACCGTGGCATGCTCCACCATGGAGCTCTCCACTGCGTTGGGCCGGCCACCATCCTTCCTCTCCACCGTGCCCGAGCGCCACGCCCGTCTTCCTCCCTCTCCACCGCGGTCATCGTCTGTTGCGCGGCTTCCGTTCTGCATCACACCCACCCGGTCGCTTCTGTCCCTTTCCGGCGACAGCTCGTGCCAGGAGCGACGACCAGTAGGCCTCCCCCCTCTCTCTCCACCACGCTCGGTTCGCTTCCTCCCTCGGCGATGGCATCCAACGATGCGGACAAGATCAGGCAGCGCTGAAAGAGCATGTTGTTGTTTCAAGTGTTTTAGGTGTATTAGAGATATGTTGCAAGTGTTTTATTCAATGTTGCAAAAGTAATCGGGATGGTGCACACGTATGTTGCAAAACGTCTGTTCCCAATGTTTCATCTGTTTTTTCAGACGTATGTTGTAAGTGTTTATCTATATGTTGCATATGTTTCACACATATGTTCCAAATGTTTTATCTGGATGTTGCTTATGTCTATAATGGTTTTCAAGTGTTTTTTGATGTTTTTCGTAAGTGTTTTAGATATATGTTTCAAGTGTTTCGTCTGTCTTCAACAGACGTATGTTGCTAGTATTGTATCTGAATATTTTAAAAGTAGATCGAGTGTTGCACTTGTTACAATATGACCCTCCCGTTGCACTACTGCATAGAAACTTAACCAAGGCGTTTGGAAAAAGGACTCCGAGGCGGTTGGGTCGGTTGCCTGCCTCGGTTATTCATGGCAGGGCAGCCGGCTCAGCAACCATCTCGGTTAATGCTTAACCGAGACGGACAACGTAACATAACCATCTCGGTTAATGTCTATTAACCGAGACGGTTCCCCTAACGCAAACGTCTCGATTAATATATTAACTCAATAATAATAACGAGATGGACGTTTAAGGATATTCGTCTCGGTAAATAGATTTATGTAAAAAATAACCGCTTCAATAAATAATTTATGGAGAGGGACGTTTATAAGGCGCCCGACTCAAAAATCAGCCGTGCGCGCAATGGAAAAGAGATGCAGCGTCGGGCCCACTGTCCTCCCCTCGATCCTCGCTCCCGGTCCAAAACCACCGGCGCCGCCCCGGTTTTAACAAACCACCGTCACGTGGCATGAGACTAGTAGCCACACGCCTGGACGCCACACATACGGCCATAGGGATCGGATCCACACCGCCCATCCCACCTCGCTCTCTGAGCTGCCCATGCCTCGTGCCGCGCAAGTTGGATCAGTCAGCCCCGGATCGCTGACGTGGACCTCTTGGACGGCTGGATCGAAGGCCACATGGAGGTATATCCACCGCCAATTCATTTGTGTTTCTTTACTGAGAATGACACGTGGGCCCAATGTGATGTCATCTCCAGCCCAATGGAGAAATATCTCCCTCCGTCTCCCTCAGCGCATCTCTCTCGTCTCCCTCTCGTCGCATCTTTCTCACCCGAGAATGACCGCATCTCTCCTGCCGGCCCCCTCCACCTCCGGCCGGTCCCCTCCATCCGCACCTCCAGCGCCGCCCACCATCTCAGGCCAGCCCCGTTCACCTCCACCTCCGGCTTGGGCGGCGCTTGGCCCCCCGACGACGGCTTGTGAGGGCGCGGCCCCAGTGGCGTTCTCCTCAGCACCGACTGCGGCACACGAGGGCGCGGCCCCAGCAGCAGCTCACAAGGCGCGGCCTTAGCGGTGTTCTCGGCCCCGACAGCGGCCCGCGAGGGCGCGGTCCCAGCGGCGTCTCACGAGGGCACGGTCCCAACGGCGGCTCACAAGGGCGTGGCCCCAGCGGCGTTCTCCTCAGTATCGATGGTGGCATGCGAGGGCACGGCCCCAGCGGTGTTCCCCTCAGCCCCGACGGCGGCACGCGAGGGCGTGGCCCCAACGGCGTTCTCCTCTGGCAGCAGGTGGCTCTTCCGGCATTGGCACGGTGGCGGCGGATCTCTTGGATCCGGTGAGAGGTCGCGGCGGGCCTCGTCGATGGGTTTTTCATTTTTTATTTTTTTAATCTATTAACGGAATGACCGCCTGTGAAAATAGCGATTAACGGAGGCGGGCGTATTAGGGCAACTATTACGCGGAGTGCAGGCGCAGGAATGGGTGTCAGGGCGCTAGCAATGCCGTTGGTAAAAATGTAACCATTACTACACGTCGTTGAAGCTCCACAAAGGAGGATATGCTACTGGTCATCAGGTCTTTCTCTGTTTATGGTGTTGGGTTTGCTACCAAGGTTCCCACCAATCATGAGACATGACCATGACAAGTGTGATGACTGTCCAATTAACTAAGCTAAATCGAAATATCATCCTCTAACTAACCTCAGCTAATCAAGTTGTCCCTGGTATTGCACTACCTATGCCAAAATATGTAGAAAACTAAGATCAAATGTGTATAGACAATACATAGTGCACACCGTGGTTCTTAACAAATTAAAAGTAGTTTAACTTTTACGACATGTCTTGCACAATTAGCTATAGAGTTCTCATCATAAAGGAAGTCTACAATATGATAGTTTCCACGAGATACATATTGTGGGCCATTCCACCTATATGCTAGTTCTCAAGGACAACTTTACTCCTTGGTGGGCAAGGGAGCTGTAAGGTTTCGTGAGTCTTTGGAGGCATGTCCTCTCCTCCTCCACGGTAGTGGCTGATAACGCTAGAATCATCTCTAATGCACCTTCGAAGCCTAGAGCCG